CCTCAATCCAGCAAGATCCAGCACTGGGGAGCCTCAGCACAACATTTGGGTTTTGTATATTTGGAACTTTAATCTTCCTTGCTTTGTTGTTCCTATATTCCCCTTACCCTGTTAAACCCCTACCCTTCTTCCTTTCTGTACCCTGTTAAATCCCTATCCTTCTTCTTTTCTGTTCCCTGCTAAATAATATATTTAATTTTGTTAACTTTTCAATTGGTGCAAAGCCTTCATTACCCCTGCTTTACTTTGTTTACCTCTCTACCTGGGAGAACTGAGGGATAAGGGAGGTGGGACACAACTCTGCCTTCTAACTGGGACAGAATTAATTGGTGCCCAACTTGGGGCACGAGAATTTTAATTTTGGTGTGTGAAAAATATGTCAAAAAGTAAGAAAGATGCTGTTTGTAAAGTTCCTGGTTTTGCAGGTACTGGGGATTGTAACTTTTAAAGTGACCGAGAATGTCATGACCTACCATTTGCTTAGAGTGCTAGCAAATTGGTTTCTTGATTGGATTAAGGGCTTGCCGGGTTATCTGTATGTGTATCTGAGGGATAATATCACTTCTAGAAATGTTCTTGGTACAGGAAATTTTTCATATCCAAAACATGCCTTTGGTGATGAATGCATTAATATACATCGCCAATATGAAACTAGCATAAATATGTGGTACTCAATTGTAGTCTGGTAGTTATGAATATAATCCAATTTATGTATATTACGAGGGTGGTTTCTCAAATTAAAGGAGGACTGGCAACCGTTTTCAGAGCAATGCAGCTAGCAGCTAGGAAACTTCTTGGCTGTAGGGAGTGTGAGTGCAGTGTAGTCAGTGTAACAACAGAACCCCATAGCCTCGGGGCACCTTTAAGCACCTCAGCTGAGCCCCCAACTTCCACTGTAGTCACCAATGATAAGCCTGAGAAGCCAGTCCCCAAACCTAGGCGGATAAAGTCAGCCACAGCCTCAGGGCAAAACCTTTCAAATGCTAATGACTGTTTCTCTGGCCCCTGTAACTACAAGATGTAAGAATCTCCAGAAGTCTGATAAACAAAATGCAGCTGAGGATCCTGGTGAGGGAGGCTCGGATGGATCAGATCCTACAAGCAGTCCAACAGCAGCAAGTCCTGCAAGCAATCCGACCGCAAAGAATTCGGACCATGAAAATGAGGTAGTAACCATATCCTCCATACCCCCTAAAGACATGAGGCGCCTGCGCCAGGATTTCAGCAGAAGTCCGGGTGAGACTCTCATGTCCTGGTTGCTAAAATGCTGGGACTGTGGGGCAAACATGGTCGAGCTTGATGAGAGAGAAGCTTTCCAGATAGGGGCAGTGTCTCAGGATGCTGGGGTGGACAGGGCTA